ACCAGACCATTTCCAGGACACGTTGCAGTGAATTTGCAGCTGCCTTCAATTTTATGGGCTCTGGGGTGGGCTGGGGCAGAGCCCCACAGGCAGCAGGCACAGCCCTGGGCCCGGAGGGGTCACACACCAGCAAACACACCAGGTCCCTGTGTTTTGTTCTGCTAACAGGGAAGAGATTGTGTCCCTCCTGTCAGCTGTGACTGCGCAGGGCACAGCTCTGGAAAAAACAAGGCTCCATCTTGCAGCACCCTGGCAGCCGGAGCCAGCCGTGGGTCTGCTCCCTGAATGTGCCCCTCTGCTCTCCATCCACATCCCCCGGGGTCACACTTGGACACAGGGAGCAGGGGATGGAGCTTTCCTAAACTCCACCTGCAATCCAGATGCCATCAGCTGGCGCTGGAATAATCTGTGGTGCTCCAGAAGAGGCGGTATCTCCACTCGGGGCTGGAAGACAGCCCTCAGTGCTCAGCCGAGTGGGGAACCGATGCTGCACACAACTGTTGGATCCCGTCTGTGCCTCCTCAGAGCTCGATTCTGGCTTTTAAAGCATTTCATGCACCTACCAGGAGTTTTTAAGCAGGATGCAGGTGGCTCCGTGCTGGGGGAGCCCCGTGCCCCTGCTGCGCTCTCCCAGTGAGCAGCACACAGAGCGTGGCGTGCAGAGCCTGTGGCTCTGGAAGCACAGACGTGGCGTTTAAAAGAAAGATGGTTTGTTTTTCTTGCATCAAATCCTCTCACTGCTTGCCGAGGGAGGCTTGTCCTCAGAGCAGAGCAAGGATTTATAAATACCAGCGCGCTCCAGGTTGCGCCCGCTGCCCGTCTCGCTCCATGCCAGTGGCCGGGAGCTCTCCCTGTGGCCAGAGGTTTGGCTGGCAGGATCCAGCTGGAGAGGGAGCAGTGCCTGCTCCTACTGTGGAGGGGGTGGCTGCATGGCAGGATCACAGTGGGGCAGGGATCACAGGGTGACAGGGGGCAGAGCGTGGCCATGGGCAGCGCTGCTGTCACAGGAGTTGGTGCCAGTGGGAATCAAGAGGCAGCCGAGCCTGGCAGCCTGGGACCCTGCCCATGGGGCCATCCTCAGATGGATCCTTGCAAAATCCTCACCTCCCCTTTTTGCTGCTGGGAGAATGGCCATCAGGGCCTTTGGCTGGCAGAGCACTCAGACACTGCTCAGTTGGGCACCCCAGGCTGGGTCAGGGTCACCACCCCTCAGCCTGGTGCCAGCCTGAGGCTCAGTGCTGCCATGTGGGATCAGAGCCTGGCTGTGGGGCAAGGGCAGCTCATCCTCACCACAGGCAGGAGACAGCAGGTGAGCCTTGCCCAGCCCTGGCCTCATGCAGGGCACCGGGCACCGCAGTGGTGCCAGTGGGAGGGACACGGGCAGTGACACAGGAGGGCCAGCTGTCACCCCTCTGAAGGCAGCAGCTGGGACAGGCTCCTGAGGAATCGCCTGCAGCCCGGGGAGCTGCCTCAGCTCTGGGAGCAGCCTGGATTCCAGGCACAGGGAGAGGCAGGAACTAAACTGCTTGATCTGGGGTCGTTGAGCTTCCCAGGAGAGCCCCGGACTGTTTGCAGGGTGTCTCGTTGTGCGTTTTGGGCACGATTCCCCTTTTTGTGGATCCTCTGGGAAGTTCCTGGTGTGTTCTGGCAAGCGTGGGGACCCGGCTGTGCTGGGAGCTGCACAAGCAGCCAGGCCTGCTCAGAGCTCCGGGCAGACAGATTATTATCTTGATTTAACATCTGACAGCTCCCATCCTGCTTGGAGAGGCCAGCACAGGCTGCCAGCAGAATCATTCTGGGGTTGGTTGTAGCATCCTCTGCCCAGATCACCCCCACTGCTCCCCTTCCTTCCTTCCCATTCCAAACCAGAACCACTCGACCTTTCCATCGTGAGGACCCACGCGAGAGGAGCCTGTAATGGCTCTGGGAGCACAACCAAAGGCAGGAGAGCCCCAGCAGAGCAAAGGGCTGCAGGAGAGCTGGCAAGAGGAGCCGGCGGCTCCCACACATCCTCTCCCCTCCCAGCTCTGCTTTGGACTCCCTTGGACTCAGCACAAGCAAGCCCTGACCCAAGAATGGCTGCAGTTTGTGCTCTCTGCTGAAATTTATTTGAAATGCCACTCTCCAGGACCATTTCTGAAGCAATTTGCTGTTCAGCCTGGCTGGGAAGAGCCCTGAGCAGGCTCGTTCATTCAGCGCCTGTGATATTGACTCTTCTCTTTACTGCAGGATTAGAGAGCATTTGTCATCTCCAAAATGAATAACTTTTCCTCTCCTGGGAGGGGGGAGAAGCCTTGCCTCAGTACTGACATTTTGCACACCCAGCCCACAAACCTGCTTCGAATCCCAGATGATGATCTGAGAATTAAACCTGGGGCTTTGGTGTCTCTGCTCCATGAGCAGAGCAGGGCCCACTGTGCACTAAACCCACGGTCCAGAGGGAGAGAGGCCTGGGGCAGCTCTCACCTGGCCAGGTACCAGCCCCATGCTTGTGTTACTGCCACACAACCCGACAGAAACTCAGGTCCCTCAGGGACAAGCCACAGCCTCTGCTCTCAAGACAGAGGAGCTGTGTTAAAAAACAAACAAACAAAAAACCCCTTAAAAATCAGAGCAAACCACCCAGCAGCAGCAGAATAAGAAGGCAGAAGCTCAGACTTGCCAACTCATTGTCTAGAGCCCAACCAGTTCTCCCTCCTGTCCTGGAGATCACAGTATTTAACTCACAAACTCACCCTGTTTGTCATTTGAGCTTCCAGAGGTGTTTTCAGGTCTTTCTCAGGAGGTCCAGGAACCAGCAGTGCGTTCCCATGGGAATTGCAGCCTTTGTTAACAGGACTGCGTTCCCAGGAATGAAAGCAAGAGAAACAAACTCCAGCTGTTGCAAGATTTGGAAAAGCAGAGCCATGAGCGTTGCCGGCAGCAACCTTTCCAAGGGGCTGCACCACCAAAACACCAACCACGGCATCGGGATTGCTGCATTGCTTTGGAAATCCTCTTACCTAGAAAGGAGCTGCTCAGGGCCAGGAGATGCAGCCCATGTGGGTTACAGCCAGCCTTCCATGGGAGCAGCTATCCTGGAGGCACCTGCTCCTCCTCCTGAGACAGGGGAAGCACGAAGATCAGCCTGGAGGTACAGCAGGACCCACCTGAGAGCTGCGGGGAGCCAGTGGGTGCAGGATGAGATCCAGGCTGGATGGGTGCTGGAGAAGTGTCCCCTTGCCATAAACCTGAGGATGGTGCTGGCCAGGAGTGCTGGGAAAGGACCTGGAGGCTTTGAAGAGCAGAGTGTTCTCCAGGCTGTAATTAGCCACTGGCTTCCCCCACCCCTGATTATGCAGAGGAGGGAAATGGTAGAACCCACCAGTCTGCCGGGGAGGGAGGAGGCTGCTCCAGTCCTGCCCCCCCTGGCACCCCAAGGACCCCCTGGCACCCCAGGGTCCCACTGCCACCCTGGTGTCCCAGCCCTCCCCATGGGAGTCTGGGCTCTGTGCATGGGCAAGACCAAGGCACAGTCTGGAAAGGGATTTACTGTGGGTCAGGGCTGCTACAGGATTAATTACTTCATTAACTGGAGTTAGCTCAAAAAAAGGAGGATGTGATGGCAGGGACACCTGGTTGCTACCAGCCCACTTCCAGCCAGTCTTCTCCCGAAGGACCATCTGCACCGTGGTGGAATGTCAGCCCTTTGCAGGAAGCCCCAGTGACATCCCAGCTCCTTTGGAAGGCATGAAGGCACTTCCAGGGCTCTTTAGGGACCGTTCTGGATCCACCCTAGGACAGGCTCCAGCACCCCAGCTTTGGGCTGGTGTGACTCCCCAGCCCACACCAGCACTCAGAAACCCCAGCCAAGGAGCAGTGGGAGAAGAGGTGAGGTTTTTATTTCACATGGGGCGGTGTGCCCTGGCTGTACCTGGCGGTGCAGAGGCTGAAGGCGCAGCCGGTGCCCCTCCCTGTGCCCTGCCAGGAGCCTCTTGTGCCATCGGCCTTCCCAGGCACAGCCACGCCATGCTCTGTGCGTGCTTTGTTCCATCTTCAGCGATTTTCTTTTTTTTTTTCTGCCCTCAGCAAGGGCTGGGAAGAGGCTTTTCATTGCCGTTCCCTTTCTCTGGCCCAGCACAATGACGGGAATGGCTGCGTGAAGAGCAGCAGTGTTGGATTACAGCGGGGAGCGGTGGGGTAACGCGGCTGTGCCGGGAGAGGCAAAGGGACTTGCACGGGAGCCAAACGGGACTTTGGGCCGGGCAGGGGGGATGCAGGGATGCAGCCCTGGGCACAGATGAAGCCTCACACCCGCGAGCCTGGGGGAGCTCCCGATCTCAGCCGAAAGCAGACGGGGCCCGTGCCTTCCCAGGCAGCTCCCGCTGCGAGCGCTGCACGCCAGGGACGGCATCCAGCCATGGCCATCGCAGCAGCCTTAGCTCGCACTTCGCTAATGAGCTTCTCTCCAAAATACTCCGTGCTTCTGGCTGACAGCTGCTCTGGATCGAGCTGCGGGAGCTGTGTCGGCCACTCCGAGCCCCGGGGATGTCGGTGGTACTGGGTTGGACGGAGCAGCTGCGGCTGCCCCTGGATCCCTGGAGGTGTCCAAGGCCAGGCTGGACAGGGCTTGGAGCAGCCTGGGACAGGGGAAGGTGTCCCTGCCCTGGGATGAGATGGGATGGGATGGGATGAGCAGGTGTTTACCGCTGGCGTGGCAGCCCCAGTGTTTGCAGAGCGAGCCCAGCCTGTCACATGCAAATCCCTGGATAAGTTCCTGCCTGCAAACAGGAACCACTTTATGGAAAGCAGCAGAGCCCTTCCCAAACTGCCTCAGGAGTGCTCTGGGGAGGCTCTGCCTTGCTCAGAGCTGGTTTGGGGTGGGTGCTGCTCTCGCTCTGCCAGGGTCCAGCAGCGTTTCCCAGGTGATTCACTTGCACTCTGGGGGCTTGTGGGAAAAGAAGGGCACCTTAGCCCCATCCTCAGCTTTTTGGCTCTGCAGCTTCCCACTCACAGGGACAGGGAACAGGGGGTCCTCAGAGGGTGGCTTTGGGCACTATCAGAAGAACACAGACTTGCCCCAGCTGTCTGGGCCTAGGTGGATGCTAAAGGAGACATCAAAGCAAATTAATTACTTAAATGACTTACTTTTTTTTGAGCCATGACTTCTGTGCCAGCCTGAGATTCCTCTGGGCTCACCGTGACTTTGAGTGCTGTGTTGGCAGGAATTGGTGACATTACGGTGTTGGCAGCAAGTGCCACCCCAAGTCCTCAGTCTCTCTGTGGGGAAGCCGTGGTCTTCCCTCCCAGTTCTTGGACACCCACCTAATTAGAGTCCAGCCAGATCCCAGTAAAATCCATGCTCTTTTCTTTCCCCAGCTCATCGTTGGACACACTCTATGAGCCATCCCAGCCCCAGCAGCCCAGAGCACCCGGGTGCCACTCCGTGATTTACAGCAGGACTTTGTTACCAAGCGTAAGTGCCCAAATCCTTTGCATTGTCAGCAAGAGCTGTTTGAGAGTAGGGATTTCCCCTGCTCAAAGAATTTTATTCCTTTGAAAAATACACACCTTTCCTTGCTGCTCCAGCTGGATGACTGCAGTGGGGGGAAGCTGAGCACTCATAGCTGCAACAAAGACTTTGTTGGGGCAGGAACTTTTGCAGCTTTGGGTCCACAGCTTCAGGAGTTGCCAGCAGGGAAGAGCCACGGAAGAGGCCATGTTATGCTCATTAAGTTTCTGTACCACAGAGCCAAAAATCCACTGGCAGCACCACCAGCCACTGCTGGGACCTGCCGGTGCTTCCCAGAGCGTGACATGAGGGCAGACAGCTGAGGGCTGGGGGAGCCACAGCCCTTTAAAGGACTCTCTTAACATAATTAAGAATTGCTGGAGGGACAGATCCCTCTCCCCAAGGCCCTGAGCATCCCCCAAGTCCCCTCAGCTCTGCCAGTGCCACCAGGGTGGGCTCAGAGGTGCCTGGGCAGGGACTGGAGCCTTTCCCATGGCCCTTCTCCAAAGGGAGAATGCACAGACTGGAAATTACTGATATTCCAGGGCTCATCCCCTTGCCTGCAGCTTCTCCCCTGGCTTTGGAGGTGCCCCAAAGGAGCAGGGGGAGTCAGAGCAGGGACCCTTGCAGGCCTCTGCAGCACATGTCTCTGCCAAGCATTAGTCAGGCATTAAAGCAGGACAAGAGCCTCCCCTGTCCCAGCCTCTGCTCTGGGTTTTACTCTCAGCTTCTGACATAACCAGGTCACTCTTTCCACACTTCCCCTGCCTCCATGAGAGCCGATGACTGATGGGGATGGATGTGACTCACTGCCTTTCCTAATGAGCGACTTTCCTCTGTTTATGTGCTTTGGCGGGGCCTTTCCTACACCTAAAAAAGGAGAAGGGTGGCACTGGGGAGAGGGCAGCGTGCTGGAAATTGCTGGCATCTGCTGTTGCTCACCGTCCCTTTGAACTGTGGCCAGCTGTGAAGCTGCCGTGTTTAAGCATGGAAAAGGTGTAGCTCTTCCACATGTTGGTCTGGGTGAGATGCTGTCAGGGCCCACAGGTAAACCCTTGTCGAGTAATTGGAGCTAATTAGGCTGAAAGAATTTTTTTGTTGCTATCTGTCCAGGCAGTGCCTGGGGGACAGTGGTAATGAGCAGTGTGAAACCAGCCCCACATTCCTCACAGAGCTTTGCCAGGCCACAGCAGGGCGAGCTGGGCTTTCCTGCTCCCTCGCACAGACACAGCTCAGGGACAGCTCCCTGCTCACGTGGCCTCGCTTGTGTTTTGCAGTGACTTAGCAGTGGCAGCTCTCGCTGTCCTGCCACCACCAGGCCAGACAATCCCTGCTTGGCTGAAGGTCCCGTTGGCTCTCTTCCCATAATGGAAGCCTGAGTGCCAAGATCCTCCATGACCTCCAGAAGCCACAACTCCCTGCCGAGAACTCTGATGGCTCCGCGAATGCTCTCCGAAGGCGCCCTGGGGGGCATCGCCCAGATCACCCCCTCGCTGTACCTGAGCCGGGGCAGCGTCGCCTCCAACCGCCACCTGCTGCTGTCCCGGGGCATCACCTGCATCATCAACGCCACCATCGAGATCCCCAACTTCAACTGGCCCCAGTTTGAGTACGTGAAAGTGCCTTTGGCTGACATGCCCAACGCCCCCATCTCCCTCTACTTCGACAGCGTGGCCGACAAGATCCACAGCGTGGCGCGGAAGCACGGGGCCACGCTGGTGCACTGCGCTGCCGGCGTCAGCAGGTCGGCCACGCTCTGCATCGCCTTCCTCATGAAGTACCACAAGGTCTCCCTCTTCGAGGCCTACAACTGGGTCAAGTCACGGCGCCCCGTGATCCGGCCCAACGTGGGCTTCTGGAGGCAGCTGATAGACTACGAGAGGAAGCTCTTTGGGAAGACCACGGTTAAAATGGTACAGACACCCTATGGCATCATCCCAGACGTTTACGAGAGAGAGAGGAGACCCCTGATGCCTTACTGGGGAATTTAAAGGGACTGCAGACGGGAAGCACAACAGAAGGGACGCGCTGTTCCGTGTCGACCAGACCGGAGACGTTCCCTTCTCCTTCTACAGCCAACATTGGTTCTTTAGCATACAGCAGAACCTCAATTCTCACCTCACTAACCTGCAAGGCCAACGATTCCCTTCGAAGCATTTTTCTCTATGGGGATTTCCCATCTGCATCTCTGATTTAGCAAGACCAGGTCTCATTATAAGTTTATTCCTTCCATAAAGCCTCCGTCTTTTTTTTCTTTTTTTAGTCAGTTTATTAGGATCCTCCAAGGAAGGGCCCAAGAGGCATTGGGCAGAGTTGATGACCCAAGTGCGCTTTGTGCCGCGGTAGTAGCCTGGATATTTTGTCATAGCTTGTTTGCTTCCTTGCAAAACCCTGTAGTGGCTCAGGAGCAGCACTAGCCAGGCCCTGCTCCACAGCAGCAGGTTTTCCAAGCACCAGGGAGGCAGGAATACAGGGGCTGTGGTGCTAGTGCTGATGTTTTCTTTAACATCCGTAGTGACTCTCAGTATATAGTGTTTGAGATCTTTAGTCAGCTCTTAATCATATTCAAAGTTAGGAAAAAAAAGGGAAAAAATAACCGGAAAAAAAAGTGAATCAGTCCGTGTCGGCCACGAGTAAAATAAAAATCAAGCAATTCAAATCAAATAAATACGAGATCCTTTTTCACTCATTCCATGCCAGGGCAATAGTCCTGGAACACACTTCAACTACTGGAACATGCCGGTGTGTTTTGTGGGTGGAAAGCCGACAGATCTTGTCCAGACGTGGCTCAAGCCAGAAGCGAGAGGGCTGAAGCTCTGGGCAGCCCCAGAGATGCTCAGGATGTGTGGTGGCCCCTGCTGGGGCTGGGCTGTGAGTGCCACGTTCCAGCAGCCGGCCCAGCCCCTGGGGAGAGGCTGAATCTGCTGTTCCTCAGCTCTGGCTCCGCTCGGGCCCTGCCTTAGCCCATTCCTGCCTCTCTCCATCCCGTCCTCAAGGTTATGCTGCATTCCAGGGCTGCTCCTCTCTGTCCCCAGTGAGGGTGACAGAGGCCTGGCCTCGCTCAGAGCGTGCCAGGAGCGACTCCAGCCTCAGCCCTTCCCTGGGAGAAGCCTTCCCGTGGCTCCAGGGGCAGGGACTGGTTCCTTGGAGTGTGAGCCCTGGAGAGCCCCGCTCCTGAGAAGGCAGCAGAGTTTCTGTTGCCTCTGGAGGAGGAGCAGGCAGATTGCTGCGATCACTGTCTGATTTAAATGAGATTCTATACTTGTAAAAAAAAAAGAAAAAATCAATAAAGATTAAACCAGAACATGTGTTGGTTTCCTGTTCCAAACGGTGCTAATGGAGCTCCAGCAGCAGCCTAAGGCCCAGCACTGCCTTTAAACAATTCTGGCTGAAGGATCTTCTCTCCTGCTTTTCCAGATGAGTTTGGCCCCACTGAAATAAAGGTGAGGTTTGCCATCAGCTGCTCCCAGCTCGGGTTCCATGGCTGGATCCCAGTTCCAGTGGCAGGCAGACACAGGAGATTCATGTCCCTGATTTATCAGGAGTTAAACTTCAGCCAGGGAAATGGTGAGGAAGTAGAGAGTGAAAATCAAAATTAATCATTGGCCTGGAGACATTCCAACACATGACATTTTAAAGAGAAAAAAATGCTAAAAAAACTGAAATCTGCTTACAAAATTAAACTGTACCTAAAAATGGGCAAAGTAAGATTTAACAGCGTTTTTGGCATAAAAAATGGAAGGCAAAAAATTCTCCACTTTGAATTATTCTACAGACTATACACACACTGCCCAAGGACTGAGGGGAGAGGGAGATGCTGATGTTCAGCCAAGAAGGCACCAAAGTCTGACTTTAAACACAAGGTAAAATTAGACCTATAAACAATTAAATTGCCTAATAAAGCACCTGAGGAAACAAAGAATTCACCTGAAATCTCCATTCAAGGTTATATTACAGTGTTAGTGCTTGTGGAGATTTGACTGCAACAACTCCTCTTGTATTCACTACAGCAAAAGATTGTATTCAAGTGTTTTCCCCCTCAAAACCCAGTTTTTTCTCCATTCTCAAATCCACAGAAACCAAAGAGAGAGCCCTGGTTTAGCTTGGGTTGCTCTGAGCACCCACTGGCTTTGAGGGGAACACCCCTTCTGCTCCCCACAGGCTTTTCCAAATGGTGTCTTGTCTGAAAAATGTTTTATATCTTCCAATATTTGGTGAGACATCTTTCCCATCCCAGCCACAGAGCAGGTTTCACTTACATGATGATATAAATATTTCAGTTTCCCAGGCTGGTCAGATATGAAACAAGCTTTTTATTGAACACCAGGTTTGAATCTCAACACAGGATTTATAAATCATCGCAGGAATTAAGGGAGTAAACAAGGTACTAAAGTCAATTAATAACACTTATTCTCACTGGATTTGAAATATCAGCAGAAACTCCAGCACAAACCCAAACAGCTCCAACTAATAATCACAAAACCACTTCTGGAAGAAAAACAACATTTGCCCAGAGGGCAGGAGAAGAATCACAATAGAAAGAGAAGTTTTCTGATCACTCTTCTTCATAAAATTATGACATTCCTATTTTAACACCGAGAGCTGGAATTAAATACAGGTGCAGAATTAAAAAGTAAATCCAAAGCAGCAGTTTGTACAATAGCAGCTTTTATTGGAAAGGCAGGTTTTGTTTCAAGTTTATGATTCCCAATGCAGCTGACAGGACTGGGAGCATTCCATGGGTTTTCCACGAGCTCCTGCTCAGCCTGGGGCTGAACTTCACCCTCACTCCCACACCCTGCAGGGATTTTAGGCAAGGAGCTGTTCCCACCAAACCCAGCGAGGAGAAGCTGCTGCCAGGGAGGAAAAGTCCTTGGGATGGATGGTGAGTGCAGGGGGTGACAATCCCCAGGGCACAGGTGACCTCAGGAGGGCTGCAGGGACTCAGCCCAGCACGAGGAGGGAGGGGCAGGCAGGAGGCTGGAGCAGCCCCCAGCACCAGGGGAAGCTGCCACGGCACTGAAGCACCAGGAACACAACAGGGTTAAGCCATAAATACATTAAATAACCGAGCAAATAATTCCTCAGAACTCCAAATATACACAGAGACAGAAACCCCACTTTGCACAGGTCACTGCCAAGGCAGCCCCTTTTAGCTATCTACACATAAATTAAAAAAACCAAGAAAAATCTCGTTTCTCGTCTCCAGTGAGAGAACCCATGCAGGAAAAGGAGTTACAGGCCTGCATTTGGACACAAGCAAGGGGAAGGCAGCGTGTCCAGGGGCCTGCAGTGGGGGAAGGTGGGCTGTGACAATCCTGTCACCTTGGATACAGCTTGGAAGGACACTGGGCTTTGGCTGGCAACAACATCCGAGAGGATGCTGAATGCTCCAGTGAGTCATTGGAATGACTGGGAGCTGCAGCTGATCCTCCTTGTGCAATGCCTTTATCGAGGGGATCTCCGTGCAAACGCTCCCAGTGCTCCCACGGCTGATGGAGCAGAGCCCTTCCTGCTCCCCACAAAGACAGGGATGGTGCCTGCTGCTCTCCCTGCTGTGGGAACAGGAGAGCAGCAGTGTCACCCTCCAGTGAGCTCTGCTGCAGTTGGAATTGTAAATGTCCATCCCATTTTTTATGGGCCAAAACACACGCTGGCTGCAGCTCAGAGAGGGGCTGAGCCGCTAACAGGTACAGAAAAACCAGCACTGGAAGGTGCTCCTGTGACAGCACAGCTGGTGCTTTAAATCTCACACCACGACCTCTTATTTGTGGCATTTTCTTTTAATTAGGAGAAAAAATTCCTCTCTAGCAAAGTGTTGGGGAGCTGTGGTGCAAAACCAGGCTGACAGTAAATTCCCTTTTCCCAAGACAGCGTTCCCTCAGCACCAGCCTCTCCCAGCCACTGGAGAATCCCTGCCAGTGGCTCCCTGTCCCCAAACTCCTGTGGGAACACTGGTGAGGGGCACAGCAGTCCCAGCAAGGAGTTGCTTCCCTGTTTTTTTGGTAATCCCTGGGCAGGATGTGGGAAGCACAGCACAGGAAATCTGCCTCTGGATCAGCTGGAGCTGGAGGCACACGGTGCTTTATTTCATGAATGAGCTAATTTGAGGCAGCAAGGAGATTTATTGTAATTGGTGTAAGGAAGGAGCCAGACACCTCTGAGCCAAGATTCTTTCATTTGGGCTAATTAATAGTTTCGTATAACTAATCCTGTTTGTTTTTTAAATACAAAGCATCGTTTTCCTCATTGTAATTTCTGTCTCAGCAAATAACCACAGGTCAGTGTCAGGTACTTGTAATGGTGCAGGATTAACTTGGAGAAGCTGTTGAGAACTCTGGAGGAAAGGGGCAGATCTGAGAGACTAAGCCAAAGAATTAAGGAGAAAGTTGCACCCTATGGATTCACACCCCACTTCATTCCTTGCAGACCTAGACAGGGTTGTGGGATGACTCTTGTAACACAGGTTTAAAATCCTGTAACCAGCACTCCATGGACTGCACTCTCCTCTGGATACTGGATCTGAAGGAGGAGCCAGGTACTTTAGATGTACAGGTAACATTCAGTGAGAGTCTGTGACACAAGCCTGTCCAGAGAGGCACCTACAAAAGCCACAAACCAGCAGGGACACAATACCTGCTTCAAACACAGCTTGCTGAGACCACCAACCCCAGGGTTAAATCCCTTTGGGTGTTAAATCCCACTTCCTGCTGCAGGAGCCACGGGCCACCTTGTGCTGCCAGCTCTGAGTCACAGGAACATGTTGCTACAGGTAGCAGCAGACTGCAGGAGCCACACACAGTCATCCCATCCCATCAGGAACAGCATCTCCACAGCCAAAAAAGGGAAAGAATCTACACAGCAGCAGATGTGCTGCATCAGCAGAGTCCAGCTTTCAGCAGTGCTGCAGCCACACAGCTCCCAAAAGGTCAGGAGAGACAAAATCCTACCTGGAGCTCAGGACTAATCCAGGGAAATTTATCTGTATTTACAACAAAGATCATGAGTTTTAAACTCCAGCTGCCTGCACTATAGAACATAGCACAGGGAAAATTACAGCAGTTTTCCAGTCCTCACCTTCCAGCACTAACCAGTTCTGCATCCAGCACAACTTCCAACACAGAGCAGTGGAAGCACAAACAAGCTTCTCCTTGAGTCAATAATTCATTCTGCCTCGGATGCTGCTGTGACTCATGTGCTGTGATATCACAGCAGCAAATACTTAAAGAACATCAAGGTCCATGTCCTAAAAACGTTAAGGAAAAGATTTGCTTGCAAATACAGACTTCAAGTATTTAAGTGGTTGTTTCAATGCAAATCAGCCCAGCATTCCAGATTCTCTGGGAAGCTCCATGCCAGCCTCTCCCAGGTTTATGCACATGGTTACCAGGCTGCTTTTACACAGGATAACGTTTTCATCTTCAGAAAAACTGAAATGCTATTTTTTTTCCCATACTACATATTTTCCAGTTATTTCTGAAACCTTGGCCATTAGAAGTGAGTTCTTCACCATCTGTAACAGAGGCTTTAATCCGTTGATTTTTGGACCAAAAACCAACCCCAAACGTTTCAAACCCGGCTCCA